TGGGGTTGATTGCGTACGGGTATGGCGTTCTAGGACGGGTCTTCGAAGGAAAGGCGTTTCTGGGGTTGTTTGGGAGGGATGGGTAGTGTGGGAGGTGGTTTTCGTTGAGGTGGACGACTAAACTGTAAGCGAATTGCGCGCCGTCGATGGCAGAGGGGGTGAATTGCGCGGATTGCGGTGTAGCTTTATAGCGTTATGAAAACATGAATATGATTGGCATTCGCTGTTGCTATTCTGTTTCACAATCCAAGTCTTAGCACATGGTCAAAAGTAGAATATATTAAGGTGGCCCTACGAAACTTTACGAGAATCTATGGCTATTGCCTAACGTCGAATATTTGATAAGGTGTCGAGAGTATGACGTTTAGGGCCGTATTACCGGAGTCAATGTGAAAGAGTCCCTGCTGAGTCCATGACAAAGACGAAGCACTCTAGACTCACAATTAGAAGGTCCAACAACAGCGGCAGCAGCGCTGGAGTCTGATGTGCACGCTTGGAAAGCAAGCAATTTATCTCATCCCGCTAACTATGCTATCCACTATACCTAACCCGGTTGAGGTTATTTTTAGCGGGCATTTTGGGTGACTAAGCGTTAGTGCTTTTTACACTACCTAGCACCTCTCCCTGTCTCTCAACTCTCAAACTCCCAGTTCCCATCATCTCATCGAATGAGTGCTAATTTCAATCCTCGCATATTCCACGACAGTCATAACATTAAGGCCTCAATCAGTGATGTCTAAAAAGTGTACTCTTTTTATCAGTCAGTAGCTCTATGTGTTTGTCCAAGGTTCTTTGGTCTAGACCGGAAACCGGGCTATAACAGTTCTTTCAAGGTGCCATGCCTATGTATACACAGCAACAAAGAGCCCGTAGCGTCTCGAAGCCCCTGATTTCTATTCGTTCAGCGCGGGAAGCGCGACCTCCGGTACGAGGCCCTCAACCAAGCCGTCTTGCTCGTATCGTTTGATATCATTGACCATATCCACGACCGAGTCCTTCCAATTTTTCCATCCCTTTCCAAAGGCCGCCTCCGCTCTTGAGATATCTGTCTTGACAAACCCCTCTGGTATTACCACGTTCTCTGCTCCGGCTGGGACTCGATTCTTCAACTCGGGGTACTTCTCTCGGATGAAGTTAGCGATCGTATTCTCGTTCAACATGTCATCGGCGTGAAAGAGATAGCGGAGGTTTCCAGGTATAGATGGCGAGAGAGATTTTAGGTGGAACGCGGCCACATCTTCGACATCCCTAAGACGATTGTTAGCTTCCTTCACTAATGTGGGAGGGTAAGTGGAGGCTTACATGTAGTAGGGGAATTGCCATCCAGGGGTTTCCACGTCGAAAAGCCCTCTGTAGAACCCTCCAGTACCTCCAAGATGCTGCCGATTGAGCTTCGCACCCGGTTGAATGCTCTTTCCGATGATGGATGGCGCCAGGAGATAGACTAGCTCGAAGGATGGCTTCTTCTCCTCCATGTAGGCCCACGCCTCTTGCTCTGAAATTGTTTTGGAGTATGCATAGGCGTTGAAAACGTTCTCAACCCCTTGTTCTAGAGTCAACGAGTTCCAGTCCTTTTCGGAGATCGTCTTTCCGACGGCAAGCTCGTCCGGGATCTTGAACGTGGACACAATACTTCCAGTGATGATGAGTCGCTTGACTGTCGGTGAGGCAGCGGCAGCATCAAGTACATTCTCCTCGATGATCGAAACAGGCTTGATGATTTCCTCGAGGAAGTTAGAATAGCTCAAGGGGGTGGCGGCATGGATGATTGCGGATGCCTTCTTCGCCGACTCGTGGAATGCGTTCGGGACTGTCATGTCCGGAATCTCAGTGAAGGTGAGTCTGCCGGACTCCACTGCCTTCTCGTATTGCTTTGTGAGAGCATCCTTGTTCTTTGCGAAAGATCGAATGACGGCGTTGACAGTGTGGCCTTCGCCCAGGAGCTGCTCTAGAATCACCGCCCCTAGGTTGCCCGACGCGCCGGTAAGAAGGATATAGGCCATTTTAGATTCGAATTGAAGCTTAAGGAAGACAGTTCTTTCTCAATCAGATTCGACTAAGTTGGAGTATCTAAGAGGGTTGGAGGAGTTGATTGATCTACTCCGAACACTGTTGGTGAGTATTTATCCATCTCCGGAGTCGTTAAGAGCTTCTTTCGAACACTGTGTTCAGTCTTCGTAATCAGGCTTTCCATTTGGTCTGTATAAGGAATGTATTTCCAATATCCAAAGACCCTTGAAGAAAGCTAGGTTGATGACTATTCATCGCCGGTATCTGATTGGTTGGTGTGGACTACCTGGAACCCCAATCTCGCTTACTTATCCTACCGTGGATCGCAAACGTCCACCGTAGTACACGAACGCCCACCGATCACTAAACAAAGAGCTAGATCACGTTCTTCAAGGATCATTGTCACACCAATCGCTAGATCTTTCTACCGAGGAGTGGTAAGTAAGCAAAGACCGAAGTGCGAGATCGTGGCTTGCATTTACCGCGCGACCTCTTTCCAGTAATTATGACCGTATTGGGCTAGTACCGTACCCATCTCCTGCCTATTTCATGGCCTTCTACGATTCCTAAGCCTATGTTGCAGAGAGAAGCTGTTCATTTGACGAGGGTGCAACTGTTCGGAGAAAAGAGTTTTTTTTGTCATCACGACAGATCATGTTGATGTGGAGTAAGAACCGCTCAATCAATTGAATGAGCCTTGACCCAATGGCGCAGGCTGTGGAAACACGTTACAAAGCGTCATGATAGGTGTCCCCATTGTGTGGTTGGTGGTACGCGTTACTCGGACCTCCTCCGCTTCTTTGGAGGCGCCTTTGTGAACTAACCAGCCCTTTTCTTCAATTGGCTAAGCAGGCGGTAGATGTGGGGTCGCGTAAGCCTGGGTCCAGTAAAAGCATGCCAAGATATACAACCATGATGTATTCACGAAAAGATCTCCACCAAACGGCTCCATGCAGTTGGCGATAATAATTAAGGTTCTGTTGTCCAAACAAGGCTATTTTGAGGGTAAGGATAGACGGCGACACCAGCCCTCATGCGATGGAACATAGATGAGGCATCATCAAAGCGATCGGCCTAACATGAGGACCGATGAATCTACGCCAACTCGATACTGTGCTATAGCTTGAAGCTTCGGAGGGAAAGAGCTCACGTCTGATACAAGTATAAGACGTCGCAGCTTCTCAGACTTCACAACTAACTCCAACAACCTTCGAACTTCACCAAGCCAACTACCGACTACCAATTACCACCCAACACCAACCACCGACTATCAACCAATCCTCACCAAGAGACTCACCTTCTCCGTAAGTTCGCTTCGAAACCAATCTTCCACAAATTCCTTCGCCATGCTCCCTCCTCCTCTCTTCGCGGCCCCAGTGCCCGAATGGCGCAACGAGACCTACGCCGCCATCGACCCCAGCAACGCGGAGCTCTCAATGGCAGGTAAGACCATCGTGATCACGGGAGGCGGCACCGGAATCGGTCGCGAGACTGTCCGAGCCTTCGCCATCGCCGGCGCAACAACAATCCACATCCTAGGCCGAACTCAATCCTCGCTTTCAGAGACCAAGCAAATCGTAGAGAAGGATGTCTCGGGCAGCAGCATAATCATCCACGTCGCCGACGTGACAGACCTGGCTAGCGTGGAGAAGGCAGCGGCCGAAGTAGGCGCCTGGGACGTCTTCGTGTCGAACGCGGGCTACCTCCCCAAAAGCAAGACGCTGGATAAGCTCGATCTTGCGGACTGGTGGCAGGGGTTTGAGGTATGTTCTTTTCCTCCTCAACATCGCTCCCCCCTTGGTACGTCATGTGGTGATTCAACAATTGATGCAATTTATAGATCAACGTTAAAGGCAACCTCATCGTCGCCAAAGCCTTCCTCCCCTCCCGAAAACCATCCGCCTCCCTCGTCGCCGTCGCATCCGCAGTCGTCAGCCTTCCCGCTGCGCTGCTTGAAGGTGGCTCTTCCTACGTCGTGTCCAAGCTCGCTACTATCAAGCTCTTCGAGTTCGTGGCGGCTGAGTACCCGGATGTGCAGGTGTTGACGGTGCATCCCGGCGTGGTTGATACGGCTATGAACAAGAAGTCGGAGATTGACGGGTTGCCCATGGATGATGGTGAGTCCAGACCCAGATCCCTAACAGTCCTACTACCCCAAGATAAAGTACGGAAATTTAACGGCTTTGTGTGATGTCTAGTCAAACTCCCGGCGCATTTCATCTTGTGGGCTGCGAGTCCCGAGGCGGCATTTGCGAAGGGCAGGTTCTTGTGGTGCAACTGGGATGTTCAGCAGCTGAAGGCGCTGAAGAAGGTGCAGGAGGAGCCGCTGTTCTTGACGTCGGGGATCTTGGGGTGGCCGTTTGAGCATACTGGTTAGGTCTGGTGTGGCAGAGCGGTGGGTCGGGAAAAGCCTTCATATAGGCAAAGTAGGAAGTTTAGATCTCTAATCACTCTCATTAAGCTGATCTCATGATGTGTACTGTGCTTCTCAAGTCACACTAAGTCTCGGTGAGTGTATTTGATAAGTACTATGTAAAACTACATAGCTTAAGGGTATGGGGATTTTTGACACCCACGTTGATTACTAGAATACTCACTAATACCTAGACAGAAATGTGTATATTGGTTACTCGTTCCAGCTGCGTCTCTCAACTTTAATGCAAGTTGATGTGGTTTAGTTGGCTATAATAGTTCTGCTGGAGTAATAACTCCGCGGAAAGGACCCGAGTTTAATCCTTAGCGCTAACCGCTCACTCTCCCCTATCTTTTTTTACACCTCTTACTAATATATATATAGATCATAGTATATATAAGGTTCTAAATTAGCCGTCTCTTTTAACCTTATTATAAGTTAGTATAGTTTTGGTTAGCTATAATACTTTCTACTGCTTCCTGCCTAGTAAGTGTAAGAGACCTGAGTTTAATCCTCGGCGCCGACCGTTCGCTTTCTATTATCTCTTTTTGCTTATATCCCCGAAACTTCGTTACAAGTCGGTGTGGTTTAGTTGGCTATAATGGTTCCGCGGCGGCTGCAAGTCCAGCCATACCCGGAAAGGACCCGAGTTCGATCCTCGGCGCCGACCCTTCGCTCTCTATTATGTTTTTGCTTGTGGTGCTGTAGAGGAGATGTGTGTGGAAGAGATGGGTAGACAGCAAGGTAAGGAATACGAGTCACGGATGCCTGGGCAGCCATCTTTCAGAATAGTAGAGCCAAGTAGTTCTATCTTACGCCGTTCAAGAGAGACATCACCTAATCGATCAGGCTATAAGAAGCCTAACGACATGCAGCAATATGGAATGCCAAGTCGAGTACACCAAGAATGATTCGTTTAACAAGGATGTATGATGGGAAGTCTATATTGTCTACCTTTCCTGCGACGTTCTCCGCCATAAGTCTAGAAATTTCGGTTTCGTAATAGGCATACTCATTCAAGAGCCCAGGTATCCTACTGTGATCCGAAATAAGCACTGGTAGATTAACACGAGGCCCCCGCAAACACATCACGAAGTCAGAGTACGAAACGCAACACCATTGCGCTACACTACGCTTTCGCACCTTATATGTGGTGGTTTTTGTTTCTATGGGGCCTGATACCCGCCCTCTTGTGGAAAGAATCAAATAGACGACAACGCCACTCCATTAATCTACCGTCTACTGCTCGCACACACGAGGTCCACTTGCCTGCCATGAAAGCCTTACTACGAGCGTGACTGGCCTCCATCTGCGAACTTCTCTCATCTCCTTCTCCAAGGCCGCGATCTCAGTCAGATACTCTATCCTCGGTTGTTGGAGCTGATGAAAGGTCTCCTCCTGCCTCCGAAGTTCCTCTGCGGTGGGTGGATCATAGACCCGCGGAAGCCGAATAGCAGCCTTGTGATCGTTGCAGATCTGAAGGTCCCTTTGGCATTTCTCAAGTCGTTGCCTTCGGTTGTCGGCCAAGCCGACGGAGGAGGGGCTGGACCAGGCAAGGCCTCATCTTCGGTAAACTCTGCATCCTCTCGCTGTCACAGTAGGTGTCGGGAGAGCTGTCACCTCCGAATCCTCCGCGGGCTAACCACCAATCAGACTCGTCAAAATCGGTTCGCAACGAGACATCTAGTCCCAACAAGACGGCAATAAGAAGGAATTGCTGAAACTTGAGTGCTCATAGCTGTCTAAACCGGCGTGGTCAGGTACTAGCTATCTTTAAGCCAAATACTTCGAACGTGGTGGACTTTTCCTTCGTAATTTGTAGGGTGACAGCTCTCCTGACACCTACTGTGCTGTCAAATTTGCTTTCGTCCAAAGCTAGGCCACGGTAAAGGAACTTCTAGTCATGGTCTCGGTTTTCCCGTCCAGACGGGAAGACCATGGAAGTGATTAGATCGATGTTTGTTGCATGCATCAAGTATGCTGACCAGCCAAGCATCTGGCCCATTCGATGAATTCGTTTAATGCCCTGCAGATACGCACTGTAGGAGACCTGTGGCTCAAGAGGTGGCAAAACGCGGTGCATTGGGCCAATGCCTGAGGAGATATTGACGATAAAAGAGCCTGCTGACGGTTCCCTAGTTCTAAAGACGCTCCTCTTCTGTCCGTCCACCACATCGCTATCTTAGTCTGGTGCCGGACGACCTCCAGCGCATCTTTTGTCCTCTTTAATGTGAAATAGATTTCCGAGAGAAGTAGCGTCCTCTTCTCTCTGTTCCGCAGAAGGCCGTACGAGAAACCCCATGGTAGACTGAAGGATGACAGATTCAACGGTCTTATCCCCACGGAAATAAGTGACGCATCATCTTATTATAGAGGTTCCTGCTCAGTCTGCTCATGCATGAATCCAATGGTTACGTTCAAGTCTTCGACGATTTCCTCTCCGGAGGCGCGGTGGCCCGGGGGTCCTCTACTCGTTAGCTGAGGGGCCCCTCTTCTGGCTCACGACAGACAGCGAAAGGCGCGGTCTTGCCCGCGGTGGCGTAGAGGTCTAACGATTCCAGGACGATCTTGAGCCGCAGTCGGCGTGAGGGCGCATGGAGAAAGTTTGTAACAGGGCGCATGTCCAATTTCTTAGCCTGCGTGCCTCGATGCGCCAGCCGTCGCTGCTTGATGAAGGGTAATGGTCGTCCATCTCGGTCCAGAATTTCGAGATGTGGCTGTTGTTATATATCGATGAAGTATTAGGTTGTTATATACGGCTGAAAGAGTAACTTGGTACGTCCCGGGGACTTTGCTCATGTGGTAAGACGATGCCGCTGGTAAAGGGTAGGGCATTGACGAGGCACCGATGAACGTCCGCGCCATGGTTCATCAACTGACGAATTCTTGAGCTGTTTCACACTACCCAAGATGAAGTAAGATGAGGGATCTTCCCGCTAGCATGAATGTGCTTTTCAATTCCTCATCGTTGAGGAAGATGAAGGAGTAGGTTGTAAGAGTTGTTGGTCCTTCGACTCCTACTACTCGTTTCTCGGGTCGTTCGGAGACACTTTCATGACCCGGTTGATCGCTTCGGTAGCGTCGGTATGAATTACCCGCTGAGTTTCCTCCAGCAGCTCAAGGGCGATTGGAAGGCGTTATATAAGCCGATGGGAGTTAAGCGGGTCGTATATACAGTACAGCGGCGGGCGAGTTAGATGGAGAGTGATTATATACAACCTGGACATGAACGAGTCAGCAATAGGCGATAGAGATTAGGATCGAGGAGATCTTACAGAGCTATAGTGTTTCGCCGCTGAGTATCGCTGCTCTGGAAGCTTCGACCTAATCGGCGACTGGTGTGAGGTTTAGAGGAGCTTTCCGAGCGTAGAACTATGCTCTCGAAACTCTGGAACATGGTACCGAACGGTGGGCCTACTGAAGCCCCCCATGTGATAGAACGCGGCAAGTCCGCGAAAGCCTTCAGCTCATCATCACCCGTGGAGTGATCTCTCTCAAGCCCTTGAAGGTTGCTCTGGTCTGGTCGACGAATTGCGCTGGGGTCTTTCTCCCTGGCCATCTTGCCTCCTTCAGCCGCTTTATCCGACTCGTAGTGTCTGAAAGGCGAGTTGTTCGCGGCGATGTCCTCTCCACAGATCCTTTTTCGCACGCCTCCTGAGAACCGAGGACCCAGTCTGCTTCCCTTTAGTCATCTATCTTTAAGCTGTCTGCGTCGTCCTCGAAGGCTCGCTTTGCATCGCCGCGGTTGCTCTAGAATGTTATGAGTCTGCACGTGCTCTCCAGAGGATGATGATGTTGAGGCCTTCAAGCGCGGCCGTAAGGACATGCTGTGAATGCTCTGTCGCCTGTTGACAGGAGCTGGAGTTCCTGGCGGATGAGTTGTTTTGAGCGAGCGTTGGCCAGGAGGCCAGCCGTGCCGCATGACGGCGATCTCTTTGTAGGTAGGGAGCCGGTAGAGGGATGGTAGTGTGAGGAGGATGATAACGAATAGAATAGCGGCGCAGGCGAGGAGGATAACGAACATAATAGCGGCGCAGGCAAGAATATGCTCTGTAGCGCTACATATCTTGTGGACTGAATGGGCGATGGATGTAGCGATGGTGGCGATGGCCTTCTCGGTGGTGCTTTGCGGGATGAATGCTCCCCAATCAAGTGTCAATGTGTTCGTGTCAGACTCTTCTATGAAGTAGCACGATAAACCTAAATAAGAGGCCATTTTGCCAGCGTCTTTCAGGGCAGGCGTGTGGTTCTGGTGGCTCTTTCGAAATTTGTGATGGAAAGGCAGGGCAGTCTGATACGTGGCACCGAGGAATCGCGTCTCCACAGTTTAAGCTTCAAATTTCACCACCACCTCTCCCGTCTCGACGACACACTCCTCTACGAGCTGCCTGTTGTTCCGGTGTGGTTGAAAATGGTACGTCTCGGGGGGCTGGAGTGCGTGGTGTCGCATTCCTGCATCGTTATCCGTTCCATCGGCATCTCTTTCATGTGTCTTCAACGTGCTACTTTTCGAATACGCGCCTATCATCGACGGTGACGAAACAGCTTCTCCAAGATGGACAAAGCTGCCAAGATGTATAAAGCGGCCGCCATGCAAAGAGTCATTAGGGCAGTCGCTGGGTTTGTGTCATGGTCTTGTACGTCTTTCTTCATAAGGTCGTTGTGCAGATCCACTGCTCCGGAGCAAATAAGCCGACTTTGCACCACTCCGCCTCCATGGGTTCGAACATGCATGTCCAGGTAGAAGGTGCTCGTTCAGACTTTATTCGTGCATTGCAATCTTCTGGAGACCATGAATACACTCGGGCATGAGTTTCGAGATCGCGATCTGATATAGGGGCGATTCGAGTTCGATCACTCCATGGGGAAGCCACTCAACGGGATTGTGAAGACCATGCCCTCGCATATCCGAATGGTCGTGCCGTGGTGACGCAACTCGATTTTCAAGTTCTCGGATTGGAGGTCATGCTTTGTGCCCAGCGTTGGATGCGACCTCTACATGGGCGGGACTTCTGCGTTGTCGATCGAGATCTTCTCGCTTCCCAGCAGTATGTACGACAAGTGCGACGGGTACGAGAAATTGTCATTTTGAGGTGCAGACATCTGAAACGTAGTTATGATAGCTGGCATGGCGTCTTTCCTGGACTGCAGCATCTTTCGAGTACGTAAGGTCTGCAACCATGCTTGATGCTCAAGCTGAGTATGGTCGTTCGCCACACCATCGAAGCAGGTACAGACGCTCTGGTCGAGGTCATGCAGGGTGGAGATTCCGATATCGCCTTGGGCAGAGCGACGGATCGCATGCTTGGTATTATGCAGGCTGGCCTTGATTCCTGTAAAGAAACTGACACAGAGCTGGGGACGTAGCTGCTTGGGCAATTACTTGGCGCAGGTAGGGTAGTAGTGTAATAGCACTGTTCCTTTCGATGATTGACATTATTGATGGCTTCCAAAACATTGGTATCACTGGTGGTGCGAAGGTGGTAAAAGTGCCCTATGAATATCAGCGATCGCTCAGGTAATATAGTACTGCTGTAACTAACTTGTAGAGAGCGTTCTCCCGAGTCGTATTCAAGAGCGAATATGAGGAGCCGTGAGGGGCATAGATGTAGAGGCGGTATATATAACGAAATCGAGATTGACTATATATCAAATAGAAAAACAAATATA